TATATATGTTTTATTTTATTTATTTTGTCACAGGGTTTTCTTGTGAAATTGTAATGTAATTGTTTTCCTGTGAAATTGTAATATATGCATCTACATTTCAAGAATTATAATTATCTTAAAGCAAATTTTATTGGCATATGAAAATTATTATATATGTTTTGTTTTTTGTTACAAGGTTTTCCTGTGAAATTGTAATTGCTGTAAAATTTTTCTGTTAAATGATTACTGTTGTATCATAAATTATAATACGACGTTTAGCTTAAGAGAGCTTCTCCTGACGCATGCGCCGTTCGCGTTTATCCGCGCGGTGAATGATGACGTAACTGTTTATTACGTATGTATGTATATGTATACCATTCTTACTTCTTCGCCTTTTTTTTCTCTGCTGTACGCAACTATGTTTAAGTTAATCTCTGTCATTAAAAATGTTCATTGATATTACAATCTATTTAGGCTCATTTATTTCTTCAATGGTTATGGGCCCAGGAACGTTTCAACTGTGCCTAATTAGCAAAATACTTATTTTAAAATGAACATTTTGAAGTTTTCGAGCATTGAACTCTTAAGCCTAATTCAGTGCAAGAACTGTTACGTCTAATCAACGGTAAGAACTGATCAGCGTTCAGTTAAGCCTATTTTTATAGCGCTCAATCTTGTTTTTTTTGGCTGTGAGAGACTGTATTACATTATGTCGCATTTGACTACTATAGAAAAGCTCGGAAAAGATAATTTTGACAGTTGGAAATTACAAATAGAAGCAGTATTGATTAAAAACGACCATTGGGATTATGTAACCGGTAAAGTGCTAAAACCTGCTGAAGGAACCGAAGACGAAAAGAAATGGCTCCAAGCTGATCAAAAAGCTCGCGCAGATATAATTCTTGCTATTAATCCTAGTGAACTGTGTCATATAAAGCATTGTGTGACATCAAATGCTGTGTGGAATAAACTCAAAGCCGTATATGAATCGAAAGGACCTGCGAAGAAGGCTACATTATTAAAACAGCTTTTATTTAGAAAAATGGTGGAAAGCGAAACGATGTCTGAACATTTGAATAATTTCTTCTTCGAAATAGTTGATAAGCTTAAACAAATGGAAATTGACATAGCTGATGATTTATTATCGATTCTTCTGCTCTATAGTATTCCAGAAAATTTTGAAAATTTTAGATGCGCCATCGAATCAAGAGATCAGTTACCTAGTCCCGAATCTTTGAAAATCAAAATGTTAGAAGAATGGGAAGCAAGAAAAGGGAAAACGTCTCAAGATTCACAGAATGCATACTATACTGATTATAAAAGAAGAAATCAAGAACAGAAGAAAAATGAAAAATGGAAGGTAAATTCAAACAAAAATTTTCCAGCTGAAAGAAATTTTCGAAACTTGAAGTGTAATTACTGCTCGAAAATTGGGCACAAGGCATCTGAATGCAGAAAGAAAATAGCTGATAGAAAATATGCGCAATCAAATAAGGGAAATCAAGGTTCTATGATGGCTTCTAATTATGAAGAGCAGATTAGTTTAGCAGTAAACAATGCTTATCAGAAGACCTCCTCATGGTGCTTAGATAGTGGCTGTACATCTCACATGTGCAATGACAGAAGGTTATTTTCAGAATTTCACCCTCGAACGAATTCAACCATAAAGTTAGCAGTTGACAAAACAGCAAAAATTACAGGAATTGGAACTGTCCTTATAACAGTACCTAACGGAAATAAGACAATTAAACTTACGCTCAAAAAATGTGTTATGTGTTCCGGAATTAAAATGTAATTTGCTGTCAACATCTAAAGCTACTGCAAATAATCGTTCAGTGATTTTTACAGAACGACATGCTAGAATAATAGAACCAAATGGATCTATACTAGTGCAGGCTATTCGTCATGGTGATCTTTATTATATACATCCAAGCACTGAAACAGCTGCAATAGCACAGGTAAGTGATTTTGTAAAGTGGCATCTTAAATTAGGTCATTTAAATGAGTCTGATTTGAAAAGACTTAAGTCTGATAACATGGTTAGAAATTTAAATTTTAATAACACTGAATCTCTAAAAGACTGCAAAGTCTGTATCCGAGGTAAACAAACTGTGCAACCTTTTCAAAAAGAATCAAAATTTCAAAGTGATGAATTACTGAACTTGATTCACTCAGATTTGTGTGGACCTATGAGAGTCCCATCCCATGCTGGTTCGCGTTATTTTGTTACTTTCATAGACGACAAATCGCGTTATGTCGAAGTCAGTTTTCTTAAAACTAAAGATGAAGTGAAAAATGCATTCATTAAATACAAAGCTGCGGTCGAAAATCGTCTAGGAAAGAAAATAAAAATCCTTCGGACTGATAACGGTCTCGAATATCGCGGAGAAGAATTTAATAAATATATTCAAGAATGCGGGATTAAACGAGAATTCTCTGCACCAATGACTCCTCAACAGAATTCGAGAGCTGAACGCATGAACCGCACTTTAACTGAAATGGCCAGATGTTTGTTACTACAAAGTAATCTTCCCCAATCCTTTTGGGCTGAAGCCTTGAACTGTGCTGTTTATATTCGTAATCGTTGCCCGAATCGAAGCCTGGGAGTAAACAAAACACCTTATGAATTATTTTTTGGCATCAAGCCAACTGTATCTCATTTCTTCAAAGTATTCGGACAGAAATGTTTTGTACTTAATAAAAGGTCTAAAGGGAAATTCGATCCTCGATCAGAAGAACATATATTTGTAGGATACTCAAATGAATCGAAAGCATACAGGCTGTGGAATAAAAATTCCAGAAAAATCGTTATAAGCCGAGATGTTAGATTCATTGATGAATTTGAAAACTGTACTAATTATGATAAAGATTTAGAAGTTTTATTTCTCGAAAATATTCCTGATAAAAAGAAGGAAGAACCTCTGAATGTAAAGCAAATATCGGCTGATGAAATAACAGAAGACCCCTCAAATATGGCAGAAGCATCTGCTGAATCATCTGATAATGAAGATTCTGATTCCGAAGCACTACCTGAAATGCAGATTAAAAGGGGGCCAGGTCGTCCAAAGAAAGTCAAGACTGGGAAGCCAGGAAGACCAAAAAAGGAGTACCACAATATAAACATAGAAAAGGAAGAAGCACAAATTGCTGAAGAAGATACAAATCCGACATTAGAAGAAGCATTAAATGGAAGTTATGCTGAAGAATGGCATAAGGCTATGCAAATTGAGTATGAAGCACTTGTTAAAAATGGTGCATGGAAATTAGTAAAGCGACCACAGAGCAAAAAGGTAATAGGATGTCGCTGGGCTTATAGAACGAAATATAATGCATATGGAACAGTTCAAAAGAGAAAAGCTCGATTGGTTGCTAGAGGATTTGCACAGGAACCTGGAATTGATTTTAATGAAACCTTTGCTCCAGTAGCCAGAGCAAGTTCTATAAGAACTGTGATTGCATACAGTGCTGAACAAGACCTTATGTTATATCAACTAGATTTTGTTATGGCTTATGTTAACGGAGATTTAAAAGAAGAAATTTTCATGGAACAAGCTAAAGGTTTTGAAGACCAAAATAATCCTGATTATGTTTATGCTTTGCAAAAGTCTCTTTATGGTTTGAAACAAAGTGGACGACAGTGGTATGAAAAATTAGACAAAAAACTCAAAAACTTTGGATTACAACCATTACAATCAGATAAGTGTGTATACAGGATGAAAACATCTCAAGGTGAGTTAATTCTAATTTTATATGTGGATGACTTAATAATAGCAACAAATAGCTGTGATTTATATGCTGAACTTAAAGGTTATCTTTCTAAAGAATTTCATGTTAAAGATTTAGGCAAACTTCATTATTGTCTTGGAATAGAATTTAATCAAGATGTAAATAATAATTCTATTAGTTTATCTCAGCAGAAATATGTTGATAATATTCTACGAAGGTTTAATATGCAAGATGCAAAACCAGTAGCAACTCCTTTAGATGCTAGTGTAAAATTAAGTAAAGAAATGTGTCCTTCTGAAACTGAAAAGGAAGAAATGAACAATGTACCTTATCGCCGTCTAATTGGTTCGCTTATGTATCTTTCTGTGTTTACTAGGCCGGATATTACAATTGCCGTCAGTCACCTGAGCCAATTTAATAACAATCCTGGAAAATTACACTGGTTGGCTGGAAAGCGCGTTCTTCGATACTTAAAAGGAACTAAAAATTATTGTTTAAAATTTCGAAAGACTGGAAAAGCACTTATTGGATATACCGATGCCGACTGGGTGTGTCTGATGTTAATACTAGAAAATCGTATACAGGTTACCTATTCAAGCTAGCTGGAAATCCGATAACATGGGAATCACGAAAGCAACAAACTGTTGCATTATCAAGTACTGAAGCAGAGTACATCAGTCTTTCAGAAAGTGCCAAAGAAGCAGTTTATTTACGTCGTTTTCTTAAAGAATTAAATTTTACTGCTGATTATCCAACCATTATATATTGTGATAATCAAGGTGCACAGAAAGCTTATGAAAAATGCTGTTTATATCACTCACGCACTAAACACATAGATATTAGACATCATTTCATTCGTGAAATTTATGAAAGAAATGAAATAGACGTTAAATATGTGCCAACAGAGAAAATGCCTGCTGATGTACTGACAAAAACATTGACTGCTTCGAAACATTCTAAGTGCTGTAAATTAATTGGAATAACTGTAAATGATTAATGTTTATTTTTTTTCAGCCGCCAAACGTCGAAAGGGGGATTGTTGTATCATAAATTATAATACGACGTTTAGCTTAAGAGAGCTTCTCCTGATGCATGCGCCGTTCGCGTTTATCCGCGTGGTGATGATGACGTAACTGTTTATTACGTATGTATGTATATGTATATCATTCTTACTTCTTCGCCTTTTTTCTCTGCTGTACGCAACTATGTTTAAGTTAATCTCTGTCATTAAAAATGTTCATTGATATTACAATCTATTTAGGCTCATTTATTTCTTCAATTACTTTTCTCATTAGGTATGGTTGTGAGTATATCTCAGCAAATATTCCACCAAGGGAATCTTATGGGAATTACAGGAATCGATATATCACTTACTGATATTACGGAAGATGTTTCCTATTTCACCAATACAGAGCAGTTTTATGTCTTCCTTATAGATGATTCAGGTATTATGCTCTGTTGGTCTCTTATAATAAGATATATATATATCTTACAATATGACACTTGTGAATACATGTGATGATTTAGAAGTTGATTATATCATTTGAAATAATTAAATGTGAAAAACAACATAGATATTAAAAATAATAGCAATCCATGAAGAATTAACTAGATGCAGTCATGACAGCTTTTATTCTTGACATAATTTTTTTTTTTTTTTTTTTTTTTTTAAGTATCACTAATTTGATATAAAGATTCTGCCCTTTCCTGAATAGTTACATTGGTACTTTCTTCTTAACTTTAATGAGGGAAAGATGAATGGGTCAGCATTCTGACAAAGTTGAAAGAAGCAAGAATAGCGTTTCCAAATTAAAGATTTGTAGAATTATAGTTCTATCTTCCCTTATTCGCTTATTTTAGGTGTCAGTTTGAAAGTTTTAACATTATGATTGGCTGAAGCTTTATGTAAGTGGTGTTATTAGCATTATGTAAAAGTCAGGGAAGAAGGATTAATTTTGCAATGGTTTAGAGAGAGATTTTTTTTTTTTTTTTTTTTTTTTTTTTTTTTTTTTTTTTTGTGTGTGTGTAAGTGGGTTACTTTTCTTGGGAAATGACCAGATTGGGAAAGTTAAGGGACTTCTGAAATTAAAGTTAGTATTTTATTTTACTTATTTTTATCTTATATATACAGATATGCATTGTAATTTTAATTATGATTTAATATATGTAAGATAAATGAGTGAAAATTCTACACGCAAACTGATGTCACTTATTCTGTACCCAGCGATTTACTTTTGTTATTTGCACTTATACCCACCTGGATTTATAAAATTTGTATTATGCATATTGTAAGTAATTCATGATTTAATTTTTATGCCATTTTAACTTAAAATTGTATTTTATTTGTATTTTTGTTTCCCATGCAAAGAATATCATTTCTGAACTTCAAAGTTCTGATTTCAAAATGCTGTAAAGTAAGAACAACTATTCAGGATGACCTAAAGTTTAATTTGCATGAAGCAATGATTTCTCTTTCTTTTTTTTTTTTTTTTTTTTTTTTTTTGCAAAGGGAGAAAACACGTCTAGAATGCATCAATAGAATGGTTTTGTAATAATAGATGCAGGAATGATGTTAACCGAAGAAATATAATAGTCGGCTACAGGAAAATAACAATTATACTAATAATACATAATTTAAGAATTCATGGAAATGTCCTAAAAAAGGCTTATCACTAACATAAAACAAGAACATATGACTGATGCAAGAAATCTTGGTGCTTTCTGATTATCCTCACCCCCTCCAAAAAGTCAAGAACTCATTCACAGTTGACTTTCCCAGTCTAATGCAAAAAAAAGGAAACGGCCATCTTCAGAATGGAATCGCACTAAGAATTTCACGCGAGACCAATCATTTGATAAAATTTTAAAATAAAAAACATCAGTAATAAAAACATTTACCTTTTTTAAAATGTCATTTTTTGTGCTGTTCTTCCCATGTACACAGTAATCAGTTTTCGCGGAAAAAAAGTATCAGAGAATTGCACAATCTAAACATCCATACAAGTTCAGCATTGTGTATTGGCCAAAGCAGACCTGTTACATGCATACCTGAGTTTCCACAAAAATATGTTATGGTAACTTCGTGCATTGCCACATTACTATTCCAAAATTAAAATTGGTACTAAATCAGTATTATTGATTTTTCTTACCTAGTAGAAGCAGGCTTTAGTCAAGTCAGAAATTTACTATGGAAAACAAGAAATAGGTTGTATATATTTGAATAAGATGATTTAAGAATTAAGTTAAGAAATTGTATGCCAGTTAATAAAAATATTTCATAAATCATCAAACTGCAGCCATCACATTAATTGAAATCAAATTTTGTGCAATTAGAATCTGTGATTTTGTTTTAGAAAACTTGTTTATATGTATAAAATAAAAATAATTATAATACAAAAAATAATAAAACGTAAGTGTAATAGACCACTTGTTTTATATTCTTAGCCCAGTTGTTATTTCCAAGTTTTTTACGTGCAATTGTTAGCATTATCATTAATTTGTATGCAGTATATTATGGAGAAAAAATGTAAGGGATTGATGCAAGAAAATGTTTTCTAACTGGCTTAAAATTCAAACTTATACTTGATATTGAGGAAAGAAAATTTTACAAAGGAGTAGTTTATTTCATTTCACCTTCTAAAGAAATTGGAAACTTTGTTACATAAAATGTGATCAGTTATGCCTAAATATTATTCGTTCTGTGAATGCCCCCTTTCCTTTTGTATGTATGTGTAGCTGAAAATGTGCGTTTCTCTTGTTTTAGAAGACCATAAAACATTGAAAAAGTAAATAATGAACTGTATTTGTGTGAAAATAGGAACAAAATGTGGATTTGTAGTGTTTAGCTTGGTCTACCTTATGTTTTTGTAATAATTGTTTTCCATCTGTCATTTTAGTTACTAGCTTTGTTTTTGGTTGATATTTGTTCTGAATTTTAGGTATTGCTCTTACACATCCAACATTTAGTCATCCAACTTATACAAGCTGGCATCATGTTCACACATACATATGGCATCTTGAGAATATACCAGAATTCTACAGCATTTACAAATCTATTCTCAGGTATATACAATTTGTTAGTTTTAAAACTTATATCTCAAGACATATACTGTGTATATGCATGCATTGATTGAAGTGTGGATTGTAAAAGATGCCCTTTTATGAATTTTTTAGTTAGTTTTTTTAATGTTTGTTCTTTAGTGGTATTTTTTACATTCTTAGGAAAATTGTTTACTACTAAATATTATGAAATAAATTTTACATCCATTTTTATTTTTAATTATTTATTGTATCTTTGCATTTATAGAGAACCTAGTGGTAAAGTGGTATTACCTTTAAAAGTGTCTCCAAAACCAAAGAAAAGTGGTGATGGTGAAGATGAAAAGGTTGCAATTTATGAATGGAAGAAAGTAGGTGGAATTATTGTTAATTATTTATGTAGTATAATAATCACCTAAATATTAATTAAGATATATAATATACGGTACAAAGTCTGACATACAGAATCATCAAGACTATTCTGTATTCTGAAATTTCCAGGATTTTAGGTCAGTAAGTTAATTTTAGTTAGTAGGAATTACAAAATAAAATATATTAAATGGTTAGTTGTGAAATAGTGAAGCATTTGTAAAGCTTAAAGGAACCAAAATTTAGAAATAAACTTTAACATTAATTTTATTTTATTGAAAGTATTTCATTCAACATAAGTTAAAGCAGTTTCTTTTCTCTTCCCCCTCTCTTTTTTATGTGTGAGGGTGAAAATTTCATTGTACAAACTAATTGACTATAATTGAGCAATTATCATCAATGCTTATCATACAGTACTTACCATCAATGCAGTCAATACAGTGAATACTACTTATCATCAATGCACTCAGTACAGTGAATGCTTCAGTGACATCATCTTCATTTAACATTCTTACAAAAGTCTGTTGACTTGAAAATTTTACAACTCTTTTCTGTCTTTTGACATTTTTTTAGTTTGACATATTTCAGTACTAGATTTCATGAGTTTGGTTTGGCTTCTTTTCTGATGCAACCATATTTTTCATCTAATCATCTTTTATTTTTTAATTAAATGGATTTTTATGACTTGGGCAATACTGCAGCTTAATCAGTATATTTCATCCAAAAAACGGTTTTGGGTGAAACAAAATGGATTTTTTGAAAGAGTTATAATAATGATATTTTTGTGGTATGGAAACATTCAGAAGATTAACTGAAAGTTCTTTATATATATATATATATTTCAGAAAACTTCCTCAACCTGCAGTTTACACTTCAGAGAGAATTCAACAGAATAGCATTCAGTTTTGATACTCTTCAGACTGCAGTTTATAGAAAATCAACTGGCTGCCCAGCTTTTTCACTTCGTTTACATAAAACAACTGGTCTTATTTAAAACCTAGAATCTTTTTCATTTCATCCGCAGAAAACAGCTACTTTTTATTTTTACTTAAAATGGGCCAAAGATTTCTTTTCTACAGCACAATTTTTAAACAATTAATATTAATACATAATACTGATTATGGAAACATCAAATAACCTCTTTATTTTTCAGAAAAATTTACCAAGAAAATTTAAAGCTAAGCTTCCTCAGTTATTTGTCAAAATGTAAAGTTGTTACCAACAGAAGAATCAAATAAAAGTTAATTTACTGGAACTTTCCCACATTTCCCTATCACCCCATCCATCAGTTCTGTGTTTAAGAGATTTGGTTATGAACTTGCCATTATGGCAACACTTCCCATTGGAAAATTGTCAAGATCAGATCATTTGGACATTCCTAAACAGATACTTCAAGTATATACTATCCCTATTTGCAACAAAGATATAAATGCAGAAACTCAATACATTAGCTTAGCATTTAGAAAATTATCATTAAGAATTGCTGAATATTAAAAGGGGAATCTATAAATTCTCTGCTAAACAGGCTACAGTGTGAACTACTACAGAAATGAGAAGGAAAATTAGGAGAAACTTAAAGATGAGATTTCTAAATTTCTGAAGAGGCATAAGGAGGGATAGTCACTGAGAAACCTGACTGGTATAGGTAGTAAAGTGCTCAGTGTCAAGTGGTGAGAAAAGATTTAGAAAATTAAGTTTATGTGAAAGGAGAAAATCATCTCAGTGTATAAAAGAAGAAATAGCATAATCCAGCATGAATTTGAGTGCAGTAATTGTTGAGCACAAACTTGCAGGAAATGGTACAATTTACAAAAACATGTTTTATCTCTTAGTTTAAATATGAAAAGATTAAATAGGATTAAAGAGTATATTAACCAGACAGTGGAACAATGGGACTGCATTGTTTGAATTGACAAAACCAAAATCTTGATGGTTGACGATGTGTAATGATATAAAGTATGTAATGAGAAGATCTGCATCCTGATTCAGGGTTGTCGCTCAAATAGGAGAATAAAGTTCCCTGACTTTTCCAACTGTGTTTCGAGAAAATTTCAGGCTAGTGTTATTTGAAAATAAATTTGACTATTTTATATTTATTTAGCAGCATACATAGGTAAAAAATATGTGCACTAAATTTCGTGATGGTATGTCAAATTACTGCTGGAATTAGTTTCACAAGCATGCCAGAGAAAATTGCCTGGAATTTGAAAGTATTATTAACTAATAATAAATAAATTTAGAAGGAAGCTGACACATTAAATGATACAAATAACATCAAAGCAAAGTTAATTAAAGATTTAAAATGAATTACAAAAAATGGTGGTATTTTGGTGAATATAGATACATTAAATGGTTAGCCTAGATAACTGATTGTTTTATATATATATAAACAATCCAACCAATCAGCAAGAAGACTTGAATTCCACCAAGTTGTTTTGTAATACATTATAACAGCAAGGTAAAAGACAAATATACTAAAAACAAATAGTGGGCCTAAAGTATAAAAATTAAGAAATCACAAATGCATGGGTTAATCTTCCTTGTTTGGAGCTTCACAGCAGAACTTTTCAAGGGAAAAGTGTTTTGAAGCTCTATGCCCTGTTGATTAACTAGATAACCAAAACAAGTTTCGTTCTGACTAATTCACTGAGACTAGAAGGGTAGAACTTAATCAGTTATTCAACGAATTATTAGAATTAAGAGTCTCATTGAATTGTCCCTTTTCCCTACTGGTTTTAGCTGTCTAACACAAAAAAATTAATTATGCATTTAAGAAAGAAAAGGTTTAAAAGATTTTGTTTTATATGAGAATGGGGGGAATTTACTTTCGTTTAACATGCACTGCAAATGCGCATGCAAATCTCTGGATTCTTAATGTTACTAAAAACTTGCTTTGCCTTTCTAAAAGAATCTCTGATTGGTGCTGCGAAAATTGGCTCTACGCCAGCTGTCTGAATGATGCTCACGCTATACACGATTCGCCAAGAAAGTGATTGTTTCCGACATTATATCAAAAACTGCTTTTTGTGGGATCAAGGTATGAAATTCCCTGATTTTTCCAGATTTTGATTAAAATATTTAAATTCTCTAACTTTTTCAGGTAGTGTGGCAATCTTGGTAATTGCACAACACCTTACATAATGCAGACAATTTGTGTCATGATCTGGATGTAGAATCAAAAATCTATAGACAGAAGTTGCATGATTAATGGAAAATATAAATGCTCAAAAATACATAAATGAAATAAATACTTCAGCTGAAATGCTAGCCTTCTGTTTGTGACCTTTTCCAAGATAATGAAGCATTTATATTTCAGTACAATTCAGTTCCATATCATGTCACTGTGTGCATAACATGGTTTCAAAATAATCATATTATACTCTTGGAATAACCTGAGAATAAGACTACAGCTTAACCACACTAAACGTCTATTAGAGAAACATGTTGAGCAGAAACAGCCCAACAATGATAAATAGAAGCAATAATTCAGTCTTGTTTCACATTATCTTCACGTTCTTGTTCACACTGCAGTACTAAAAGTCTTGATTCACTGCATGGAAAGACTTTCTAAAGCCATGATTAAATCTAAAATTTACCCAACTAATATGAATTGACCCTTTTTTTTTATTTATTTTTATATGTTAATTTTTTTTAAATACATATTTCATTTTTTCTAGGTATACCAATTTTCTTTTTTTTTTTTTTTTCTTTTAAAATGTTTTTAATAAAAAAATGTTTAATTTGATAGTATCCTCTACAATTGCCATTACATAAACATTCATGGTTAAAATTTTGTTTTATTGTTTTTCATACAGTCTGTCGGTATTGATGAAGTATTTGTCTTTAAGGAATTTAATCATGACTTTTTCCATTCGATACTATCCAAATTATGTAATGCGTATCAATTTTTTAAAGCTGTAGGCCCCCTAAAAAAAATGTCAACTGAAAATCATGGGACTGATGCTCATTCTTTTTGCTTATTTGCAGTTAGATAATTTGCATAGTTACTCTTGTGATGAAATAAACGTGTTACCACATTTGGCATACAGTTTTTAACTGATGGTTAATTGGAAAGTCCCAATAAAATTTCTGCAACCTATTTTACGCTGAAGAAAGAAAAATGGGAGAGAGCAAATAAATCTTCTACAATTTAAAATATATTTAAGCCATGAATAAATCTAATATCAGTCATGTCCATTTATGTGCTCTCTATTGAACTACTCTTCAAAGACCAAATCATAGTTGCTGTTTGTAATATTTTTATGTTCATGATTGCTAACATTAACATCTTAGCCTGCAAACATTTCAACATGCCTCAGGATTACAATTTTTTTACTACTTTTAAATTATTTTGTAGATATGCAGAATAAAAATTCCATAACCTAGTTCTCTAAAAAGAATTTCTGATTGGTATGGTGGTGTTAGCCCCCCCCAAAAAATTATTGGTTTACTGTTTTTTCAGTTTAACTGTATTAGATATGTGCAAAAGTTCTATCCATATTTTAAGTGAAAAAAGAAAAGGAATTTAAAAAAGGGTTGAATACCCATGCATTTATACAATTATCTTCATTTGGAATCAACAATCAATCAGATTCCTTTGGTTTAAAGTAAAAAATTCTTATAATGCTGTTATTCTTATTATGCACATTGTAAAAGGTCTAAAAGACAAAGAAATTCTGTAATGATTGAAAAAGATGGTAATCTGAAAGAATAAGGTCCAAGATATGATGTATGAAATAAAACTTCCCAACCAAAGTTGAGCGTTTTTTACTGAATGATTAAAGCAGCATGAGGTTTATATTATCATATTGTAAGATACTACCATTTTGACTTATAAGCACTGACCACTTATATAACTATTTTTACTTCAGACTATCCAACTGTTGGCAGCATATGTCAGCATTACTTTTATCAAGGAACAACAGCATCAGCAACAACTCTCATTTGATCATTTCCTTCCTAACCCATCATACACTTAGCAAAACCTTTTTCAAGATGCATTCCTTCTTTGATTGAGCAGGCTGTACTATATGACATACAGTTCTTTGGTGTTTGATATTACAGCATAGGGCCTGTTTCTTATTATCTTTACAATTTATTTCAAAAAAGGTTCATTTCTGAAATGAGAAAAAAAGGTACTGGCTCTCATCCTCCCATTACTTTTCAGAGAGCTGATGTGGAACCCACTGATCTAGCTGTCTGGTGATCCCAAGTGTGTGCATTCATTTTTCAGCTGTTATGCTGTGTATGTTTATCTTTTTCACTAATTCATTTATAGTTGCGTGTAGGGCATTTACCTTAACTTAGTCCCAAATCTACTTAGAACCACTCTTAGACATTTAAAATGTTGTTGGATCTTTACAACTTCTGTTTCTGTCCTTGAATTTTTTAAGCCAGTGGTAACATCTGTTATCATCATCCACATCGTGCTCTACACTGAATCAATGTTTTGACATATTAGGACTGTATTGTTGCCTCTATCAAACTCATATACAACAAACAATATCTGGTATACTCCTTATCATTTGCTATTGCAAACCATTTGAATTTTTTTATGAACAATTGACTATTACAAACACATTGCTTTTGTATGTTGTCCACCAAAGTATTATATTGGTAAAAAATTTCGGTCCCTATTCCATCATACACAACATCAAATACACTCCTAACTTGCATCTCCAGAAATGGTTAGAACTTTTGTACAAACCTAATAGTGGCAGTTTTCACTCTTCAGATCTCTCAACTGTAGGTCAAATTTGTCTCTAATTTAGCATTTGAGCTCTTGAGCAATCAATGTCTGAATCATTACAAATACCAGTATTGTTGTATTTTGTTTTCTGAAAAATGTGTTTCATCATTTATGATTTTTATCCACTTTTCTTTTTAGGTTGAAGGAACACCATATATTGTATGTGTAGTAGTAATAGAGCCAACCAAAATAAGGAAATTTCTTAGCAACTCAATAACTTCAGAAAGCACAAACTTCACTTATCATCGCCTTGATTTATTGCCATCATCAAATATATGTAGGCATATGAAGCAATTATCTTCTCTAGGTATGTATGATCAGAGTAATCTGAAACTAGAATGTAAATTATCATAGAGTTAAGTTTGGTATGAGACTTTTACGGACTTGTTTATAGCAATGTTTATCATTAAATGATAAAACAAATTATTTGTAAAATGGTAAAATAATGATAATTCGTATACCTTGAGACCAAGTATTATGTGGATTGGAGAATTCATGTATTTTAAAAAATGCCTTACATAAAATTTAGATTGTGTATGCCAAAATACGATATCCTTCATAAATAACTGAATTAAATTTATCATCTTCAAAATTGTTATATTTGTTACGAGTTATAAACACAGAAAATAGATAGACACCAATAAAATGGGGGAAATGTAGTAGAAGAAAAAAGAGACCAGTGGGAGGGATTATTTTGAGCAAGTAGCGAATTCTTATAAAAATGTGTCAAAATTTTTAAAAATATATCCACCAGCAAAATTACTTCAAAGTAATTGTCGTATTCTTAAATGTGTGTCAAAATATCTGCCTGTAATGAAAGTTTTCTGCATGGTAGTTTTTCAAAGCCTGTGGCCCATAAACTTAGTTCCTATTAGTCCAAAAACAGATCAACCTCGTTTTGAATGTCCTGTGCAGAATAGAATAGGGCACGAGCGAGATGTAGCTGCAGGTGTGAAAAAAGGTAGAAGTCCAAAAGAGTAATGTCAAGGCTGTATAGTGGGTAGGGCAAAGAGATCCCATTTGTGTCCATATTGAGTCCAGCCAATGAATGCAGACACATGTGGTCTTGCATTATTTTGATGGAACTATACCATAGTCGTAACTTTGTTAAATAAACAAGACCTGCTCTAGGCTAAATATTTACTTATATATACAACTATGTGCAGATTACATTTTGGAAAAACTTCAAAATGCATTTTCACTACAGTAGAGCATGCAAACCAGTGTCCGCTCTTTTCTCTTCCACATCTCAAATTCTTCTTACACAAACCTGCGATCAGGGGAAAAGTCTGCTCCCCTCTTCCGGCCGGGGCGAGAAGAGGGTTCTCTGTCCCTTCTTTTAGGGCGGGTGACCAAGTGTTCTTCAAAGAAGTGGAACGTTACAGAACATTACCTTTTTGCACTGGAACACAGTTCAACGTTTTTCCTTGATAGCAGTGTCAATACGGACTAGCATCTCGCTAAACACCTAACTGTCAAGGGTTTTATCTTTTTCCAGATACTCTTTGTGAATAATATCACCAGATACAAAGCATGATCTTTTTGTTAGTCAAATTGCGCTTTGCGACACTGATGGACGGACTCACCGGACGCAGACCAACCCCCTTTTCGGCCTGTGTTGTTGAAGTAAATCCACATTTCATCACAAGTGATGATCTAGGCCAGAATTTTTCCTTACATTGGTACTCAAGCAGATTAGTGCAGGCGCGAACATGTCTGTCCTTTTTTGCTCGAGTCAGCTCATATGGCTTCCTATGATTAAACTTGTATGTCAAGTTTATTCGATGCATGGTGCAGCTAATAAACATGGCTTTAATGTCTAACTTCTTAGCAAGCTCTCTAGTGGTTGCATACTGATCTTCTTCCACAAGTTCTTGCAGGCAGACCTCATCAACATCAGTAGGCCGGCCAGAACACCCTGCATTTTGAATGTCATTTTCCTTGTTTTTGAACTTCCAGTACCAAACCTTCACAGTGTTATATGATACAACATTAGTACTTAAAGCTTTACACATAATTTGGTGACAGTCTGTAGCTTATTTTTCCAACAGAACTGGAAGTAATAATGGTAGTGTGATAGTTCCATTTCAGGCGCCTTGTACTTAATGATAACGATATTTTTTTACAAATTTCACAACACAGGGTTTTAAAGCAAATCTGTTTCTTTCAAATGTCAAAAAAGCATTTGACAAAATAAGATTAAACATGCCAACACTAACAGTGTGTGCAGATGGTATTTGTGCTGGCAGGCAATTTTCGCTAAAAGTGATATTCTTTTTTAAATGTGTGTGCCAACAGAATTACTTCAGAGTTATTGTATTCTTAAATGAAAGGAAAAGTAAGTAAATAAATAAATACACAATTTTTAAATATTGCTATAAGGTTTTCTCAAAATTTAACCCTTATGGTAATTTTGCCATTAATTTTCACGTAGGTGCAATTAGTTTGATAATGGTACTAACAATGTGCAAAAAGTGCTCAAATTGAAAGTTGAGATTTATTAATGCTTTTTAGTTTATTTCCTTTATTTTCCATTTTTGACATAGAAGATTCTGTATGAATACATTTGTTATTAATAAATCTCTATGTTTCACTGATTACTGATTGTGCATAATGCAAACAAACCAATTGTGAGATGCATTTTAGTTGGAACTCGGTGTGTGTAAACTATGGACAGATAAATTATCTACATGCTCGTATAATCCCAAAATTAATTTTAAAATATAGCTTTTAGATATATATAGGGAAAATGTATTTAAGGTGAAATATTTGCAAAGATAGATCGGTCTACGAGGAGCTTGGTCGAAAAGAGCAATTTTCGCTACATTTCACTTTTCTTAGGAAGAATTTCCCCCTTCTTCTTAGGAAGCTACTTTTCTCCCTTCTTTCCTCTTCACTACATTTCTTCTTCTTAGCTTACATCCCCCCTTCTTCTTCTTCTCTTCCCCCTTCTTAAGAAATTTCTTCTTAGGAATTTCCAGTACGAAAGGTTGGACTACATACTTTTGATATGCATCACATCTCTTGAGAGTTGTAATGATGGATTTTAATCGTTTGTCCTTCTGCTGCTCTTTTCTGTAATCTACGATCGCTGCAAAGAAAAGGATGTCTTTTCTTTGCAGCGTTGTTCTCAATTATTGGTTCTATAAGAGGCTTCCTTGATAGTGAATCTGCAGAGTGTTTGCGACCGCTCTTATAGACGATATTTATGTCGTATTCCTGCAACCTGAGAGCCCATAGTGCAAGTCTTCCGGATGGATCATTAACATTGGCTAGCCAACATAAAGAGTGGTAATCTGTGACTACCGTGAAGGGTTTTCCGTAGATTTATGGCCTGAGTTTACTAATTGGCCAGATGACAGCAAAGCATTCTTTTTTGGTGGTGGAATAGTTCCTTTCAGCTGCAGTAAGGGACCTGGATGCATAGGCTATTGGTCTTTTTTCGCCCTCCTGGATCCGAAACAGTACTGCACCGATGCCATAGCCGCTAGGGGCAGAATGTATCCTGGTTCCTGCATCTGGAAGTGCCACTAGTCAGCAGCCTTTTGAGCGTTGCGAAAGATTTAATCTGTAATGCGTTCGAAGAAAATTTTGCATCTTTCTTCAACAAGTCATGCAGGGGCTTGCAATATCTGCAAAATTTTTTATAAATCGTTGATATTAGGAGCACAAACCCAGAAAACTTTGGACATCAGTAATTTTTTTCAGAACAGGGAACTTTGCTACAGCCTTTACCTTTTGTGGATCAGGATATATTCCATGTTGATCGACTGAATGTCCTAGTGTAGTCAGTTTCTTTTTGCTGAATGAACATTTCTTGGAATTTAGCATCAGTCCTGCTCTTTGGATACATTTCAATATTTTCCTCAAACGCTTTTGATGTTCTTCGAAATTAGGTGCGTACACGATTATGTCATCGAGGTAGCAAAAACAAAATATTTCATTTGAGACCTCTTAGTACTGTGTCCATCATCTGTTCAAATGTGGCTGGAGCATTGCATAATCCGAACAGCATAACTTTAAATTCATAGAGACCATCTGGAGTCACAAAAGCTGTCTTTTCTCTGTCTTTATCATCAACATCTATTTGCCAGTAGTCTGACTTCAGATTCATCATAGAGAAAATTTTTGCACCAACCAAGCAGTCCAAAGCATCATCCGTACGAGGTAACGGATAGATGTCCTTTCTAGTTACCTTGTTCAATTATCTGTAATCAACACAAAAACGTCATTCACCGTTTTCTTCTTCACAACCACGACTGAAGATGACCATGGACTGTCTGATGGTTGTATCACATCTTCTTTTAGGATTCGTTGCACTTCATCTGCAATACACACCTCTCAGTGGCTGACATCCGGTATGGCCTTTGTTTGATTGGTGCACTGTCACCTGTATCAATCTTGTGCTTCACTGCATTGCATCAGGATTTTTTCGCAATACTGTTAAAGTCAAAAATGTCACTAAATTCTTCTAGTAGACTCAATAGCTCGTCTATCTCAGGATTGGTCAAATCAGTATCGAAAATTTCTTTTAAGTTTTCTTGTGATAACCTTTACCTGGACTTATGTCCCTTTTAACCTATGTTGAATGAAGTTTGGTACTTGAATATATTAATGTATGTGTTAAGAACTAATGTTTTGTAAATGAAAAAAGTAAGAGCTTGCAAATGGTAATCAGTTGATTTAAAGTTAGGCACTCCAGCCAACACTTATAAAATTAACCCTCTGAGCGTTATGACTGGCTTTATCCGGTCATCACATATTTCGCTACATTAAAGCTTAAAAGCTGTAAATTTAAGCTGTTTAGCTTAAATTATAAGTTAATATACTTGGCATATATTAGCTTATAGTTTAAGATATTTTTCTTTCTTATTTTCTTTAATAATCTTGTAAATATCATCTGAATGAATGTAAATTTATAAAAATACAGACTAAAGTAAGTAATTATACAAACTCAATTAATAAATGCTTTTTAAATACCGGTCTTCATGATGGATCTAAAATCCTGCACCACTCGGAGGATTAAAGGAAATTTAAGTCTAGAACATTTGGTAGAGGTTTTAGAATAGAGTGTTGTTGAGGTCTAGTGTGTCTAACGCATAAGAATTCAATGAGCAGGTAGTTGTTGAAATACTCACCCAACACAAAGCTGGATTGCAGTTTGTAAAAAAGAGTTTTAGAGAGAAAACATGAATTGTGGAAGGTTATTCTTATACATGCATGTTGTTTAGCTTAAATATTTCTATGCTAAACTATTTTTTTTTCTTCCAGATTTGTGTAAGTAGATGTAATAAAAAGTCAATGATGCATCCAAAAAAGTGTTAAAATTAAATGAAATATTGTAGAATGTGATTTTAAACTAAATTTTAGCAAGAGCACGCTCATGCTTTTAGATTTTAGAATTTAAAATCTTATCCAAGGTAATTAAGACTTTCATTTGTGATTAGTAAAAATTCTGGTGGGGAACATTGTGGAGTTTTATGTTAATTAACCAGTTGTTATGAGTTGAACCTTTACTTTTCTCTTCTTTCTATATTTTTTTTACCATAATGCAAATTTGTTGTGTATTTAAATCTTTTAGGGTGAGAGGTTTTAGCTACCTTGCCTTGCAGTTATGCACTGTGCCAAAGTTATTCCGGCTTTAGCATCTTGCTAGCCAAAGTTATTCCGGCTTTAGCATCTTGCTAGCCGATGTTTAAAATACCTGCTGTTAATTATCTTGAGCCACCTTTTTTTTAAATGGTGTGTTGTGTATGTAGTCTCAGACTACATTACCTAAATTTGGATTTAACTTTATCTTGTGTTGATTTAAGGTTTAGCAAAGATTAGTCTGTCACACAAGCAGTGTATTTTTTTCATTTTAGATTTAAATAAAAGGTTATTTTAACCTTTTTTAAGACTTGTCATTGCTTCAGACTAAAGCAAGCTTACAGACGTAGCAGAATCCCATAAACTCATAAAAATATATTTATTTAATTACTGATTGACATCTTCATGGTTATGTTAATTAATTTTTTATATCATTGCTATGCAGAATATTCAACTCATTTTCAGACATAACAATTCATAATGAAGATATTTTGTGTTTTGCAAAACAGGTTAAAACATTTTCATACCACTGGATATATTTTTTTTTTTTTTGTATAAAAAGATTGTCTTTTCCTAAAACAATTTCTTTTCCATTACATTTGCATGTATTAGCGTGCAAACAAGTTCTAATTTTTTTTTTTTTTTTTTGACTATTTGCTTTTCACAGGGAACACAGCCCTGTTTCTGTCTGCATCGTGTTTCACTTCACCTTATAAATACTTAATGGATGAAGAATCATTGCAGATGGTTTATAATTATATGGCATATCTAAAGGATCGAACAGGGCTCATAGCAAACCCAGGACTGAAGGTAAAAATGTTTGCTTGCTGTATAATTTCCTCAGTAATGTTTTATGAAAGTTAATTATTTATTGCTTATGCTACTTATTATTGTTGTATATATGTGTAAATATTCAAATCCTTTTTGTTGAATTGTTTATCATTTAGTTACCTATTTTTTTGGGGGGGATTATATCTATTTATGCAAAAACAGCTTAAGTGAAACACCCTTCGCAGTCTTTGGCAACCGGTCTTTTCCGAAATCTCTAGGAGCTCCTGCTACACCAGACCTGTGCCAGTATTCAACTTTAAATACAGCTCAGAGGGCTCGGATTAGTTGTTGTTGTTATTTTTATTTTCAAACAAGGTGTCATTTGCAAGTGATACTGGCAATTGCCAGTATTTCTCACACACTGTGGAGGAATTCTTTTACATCTGCATTCTACTTAAGCTGCCTGAAGTTATTTACTGTGCTGTTTCCAGTTAATTTTTTTTAAATTGTTAATTTTTTCCTGTTTTTTAGAGCCATAATTCAGAGAGATACTATTGAATCAGTAGCCAGCAACAATATTTAATATTACAGTAGACTGTATTTTAATGTTTTATAAGTTGTAATCTTTTATATTTTCGTGTTTTTATGTATACATCATTGAAATAATAATTCTCTTGAGAGAGTTTAGTATGTTTCTGATAAAACGTTTAATTTTTGGAAAATTTTTCAGCCTGGGGTGCGTAGTGAAGTTCTTGCTTTATCACAAATTACTTCTACCTGGAAAACTGCAGCTGAACATAAAGAGTTCTCCAATTATATTGTTCGCAGGTAACGGTTGTTAAACAATATATATGTGTGTGTATGTTACATATAAATAGGGGTGTATCCTGAATTTTCATAAAGGGCATGCTGCTTAACATCAAATTTTTAAAGATTTATACAAATGAATGAAAATTAAAGTGCGTGTATTCAAAGGTTGACTGTAGCATTTGCCTATTAATATGTTATTAAATATTATATAATGTGTAAAATAATGAATTGTATATAATGCAAATTTTAAATTCACCAGATTTAAAGTCTGAAATAGAAATTTTTTCAGGTTTACAAACAGTATATATCCTAGAGTCATAATTAAGTGTTGCTTGATTGATGCATATAGCAGTATAATATATTTCTTAGTATAACCAATAAATAAACTGCATTAATCAACAATTACAATTAGTTAATTTCACTGTCAGATAAAATTTGAACTATAGTATAATTAATGCTGATAGTGACAAAAACAATGACTCAATCTTCTAAATTTCACTTATGTTTAAAATACTATGGGTATTTACAAAATGGTATTAATTTATGTATAAGTTTATTAAAATGCAGGGTTTTTTCCCCCCGTCTTCAAATGGTTTGACACTTAATTAAGGAACAGCTGAACTGATCAGTCATTTAGCTGTCTCATCAATGAGAAGCTTGTACAGACTACACTACTAGATATGGTCTGATATTATTACGCTTGTGAGAAGACGTAAAGACACCATGTTGTAATACAGGACTGGAATGCTTACCTTGCCATTCAGAGTGGTAGTCAGTCTTCCCTAACTCCTAAATAGTCAAGAGGACAGTAAAATGAAATAAATACTTCTATTCAGAGGAAAATAAAAATGGACTTAATATAGGTACTTTTCTCCCCCCTCCCCCCCTTAAAAAATCCATTTATGAACGCTTCACCTAAATGAATATAGGAGTTCACATTTCAACAATAGATTTCTTCCTCAGTTGCTTTCAAAATTTTCCTTTCTTCCTCAGTTGCTTTCAAAATTTTCCCATGCATTTTACTCTTCCTATGGAAATTGAGTTGTTTATTCTGTATTGAGTGCCAATATCAGTTTTACAACTGTTGATACAATTTAGGTATATAATGGAGATTCTCATTCGAAGCTCCAGTGTGTTTTGTCTAAAAGTTACAATGATTTCATTCAAAAATGTTCAGAAACACTACAGGTGGATTCATATTATAATACAAACTATATAGATAAATAATATAAAATATATAGATATTTTTTAATCTGATATTTGCCTGTAAGTTAGAGAAATGAAAAATGTCTGTGGAAATGAAATTTTTCCCAAGACGTCAGGGAAGCTATTTAAGATAGGGGGAAAAAATAAAAAATCGACCTTCTCAAATAATTAAAAAAAAAAAAAAAAAGTAACAATTTTATTTTTATAATGCATAGCTCTTTTCTCTATCTTTTATTGAGCTTTTCATCACTCTTCCATTATGAGTGTTATTATTATATTGCCTCTTCATTTAGAAGTGTTATTGCATTCAAAAATAAATTGTGCATTTAAGAAGATATTGCAATTTTTAGTGGTATGTTTTAATGATTAATTAAATTAATCATTTTTCCAATCATTTTTTCAATCACTTTTCGATTTTATTTTAAAACATTAGAAAAATAATATTTTAATGCATTGATGTACTGTTATTAATTTATTTTACAAATAAGCACTTTTTCTCCAGAATTTGATATTTCATTTTAAAAACTCTTATCTACTTTTCTGAATGGATTAAATATATATACTTTTCATTTGCTTCATAATAATGAGAAAATGAAATTACATTTTTATGATGTTTTTAATTATTAAATGACATTTATAATAAACTTATAAAATTATTCAGTTGCTCTCACTTAAGATCAGTTTATTATGTGTAAAATAAGATATTGTTTCATTTGGTGAAGGAAATTAAAAGTTGAATTTGAGTGGGAACCTTAAGTTGAACTTATTTCAAAGAGATGCTGAAGGTAATATTCTTAAAATTTACTGAAATCAACACTCTAAAACTTCATGATTCAAAACTTTTCAACATCTCTTGCCATTACTGAAGTATGAATTCTGATTTCATATGTAAAGGTGATGAAAATGTTTTAAAGTAATAGTTCATAATTTTCTTTTTTATCAGTAGAGAATACTTCTGCATCTCTTAAAAGCTTTAGTGAGAAACTAGAAACATACTTAAAAGAGTAGGAACCTTTAAGTATTCCATGTATTTAAATTGAAAGAAAGAAAATTCCAACATTTGTTCACTTAACTAAAGTGTATTATCTATCCTGCTTTTAAATTGAAGTAAAATCAACACAAAACTGCTATAGGCATAACCTCACCTTTGGGGGGGGGGGAGGGATCCATATAATTTTAATGCTCTTATCACTTTTCAAATATTGCCACTATATGTTATCGCCATATATTATTTTTAAAGAATGGCAACATAGATAAAAGGATGTTGCTACCAAATATTATCGCTATATAATATTTTTAAAGAAATAATATGGCTAATATTTGACATATATAGATATATATATGGCAACACTTATATTTTTATCAGGAATTCTAAAGATACTCCATATAAAAAATGTTTAACTTAAGGGACAGTTTCCTTTGTTGAAGAGTAAGATATTTAGTTTTTCTTTCAAATTTAATCTTCCTGTTTTTAAGTAATAAACTAAGCAATTTAAAAGCAGTAAAGGCAATTCTAAATCTCTTTTATTACTTACCAACTGGACCTGTGAAAATACACTAGCTGAATTTATTAGAGGTATATATATATATATATATATATATATTAAATTGAAACAAATTTAAATTCTTAACAAATACGTATAAAAGTAAAAAAAGCAAATTTAAATTCTAAAAAAAGGAAAAAGCCAAAATAATTTAAAATAATTTTTAAAAAAATGTGCAAACATGTAAAAGATTGATTTTCGAACTAATCTACAATATCACTTAAATTCAGAAGCATAAGCAAATCAAGTGCAAAATCTGTCCATGAAAATAAATCTACTAATTTAATAAATTAAAATTAAATTAAACAATTTTTTAAAAAAATGCATATGTGAATGACCGTAGAGTAGGCAGGAGACAGACTTATCAAGGGGAAGTTGCCTCCAAACCTAACTCTCCAATCATTCAATTCGTATTTCGTCATTCATGCAGGCAAGGGTAAAAGTCAAAATCAAAAGTAATTCTAATAAAGCGGTACCCTTAGAAATTAACATTTAAGAATTAAAGTTCAAAAAGGAAAATACTAATGAAGTCTTTTGAGTAACAAGCGAGTAAAGTCAAGAATTAAACTTTTTCTTAAAAAATTAAATTTTTTAAAAATTAATTTTTTTTATAAAATAATAAAAAAAAATCTAGAAACCAATGTATTTTAGAAATCCTTGTCTACAGAAACTTTCCCTACACGAATATGCAAATCAATAAAAAGAAACTATAAAAGAACTATACATAATCCATATATACCAATAAGAAACAAAAAGAACTAATTCACAAATTTAAAAAATATATATATTCAAAATATAATTTCATATTTAGAAAATACTTAGATACTACATAAAAAATTAAAAAAAAAAAAAAAATACTTAAAGCAAGTAAATAGTAAGTTTTAATTCTAACTTACCTACTATAGGAGTGTTGGGGTCTGCAAAAGTGTTGTGAAAGAGAAGTAAGTGTGTTCTTCAAATTATATAGATGGCGCTTATGTAGGTAAAGTTGAGTGTCAAACTGCTATCTTTGTTATAGTAAAAAAATTTTTGTAAACATTAATATTAAAAATTAAATTAAATTAAAAATTCTAAAGGTAGTAATATCAATTATTTAGGGAGTTATGTAACTGAGCCAATTAAGAGATGTATGTTTGCTTGAAGGAAATTAAATGTAAACTGTTTGTAATTTGAAATGTGTGTTCTGTTGAAAAATTGTGAAAATTGTTAAAAAAATTAAGTGAAAGATATTTGTGTGAAAATTGCAAAAAATTAAAGTAATTAAGAAAAACTGAAATGTTTTAATATTAAAGTTTTAAAATAAAATTTCCCAAAATTTTTTTGAAATGAAAACTAAAAATCCTTAAAAAACTAAAAATTCCTTTAGGAAGTGAAATAAAACTTAAATTTGATGAAAGAAAATATTAAAAGTTTAATGAACTTGATCTCAATTGGTATATCAAAACTTAACTAAATGCTGGCTAAAGTATGGAAAATTAGAAGAAGAAGATTAAAATCTTCACTCAATTCGGGCTATAATTGAGACTTTTGAAAAGAGTTGGCCCTTTATTAGTAAAAGGAAAGAATCCAGTATTCATATTTACAAAATATTTACAATAAAAATTTACAATAATTTCTCTACTCTTTTATATCCTTCATAACCCTCCAGCTAAGGTTTAAGGTAATGTTATCATTTCCAAAAGAGCCAAAAATTTATAAAGGCCTGCCTTTTTAATATATAAATTAATAAATTTTTGGTGGTACTTGGTTATCAACTTGTACATTAATTAGTTTTATGATTTCTTCCTTTAAATCGTCATTTTCAGTACATATATTTTTTATTCTGATAATTTGGCTATGAAAGGTGTTTTCTATTACTTTTCTAGAGATATTAGAGTTCCAATTAATTAGTTTAATAGTAGGAAAATGGAAATTCCTTCTTTTATCAAATAATTTAATTTTGCTGTGTTTAATAATTTGCAGGTCTAGGAATTCAATAGTATCTTGATTCGTATTCGTATATATATATTCGTATTCGTATGTATATATTATTTATTCTGCTGGCCATTCCTTTCCAAATGCCAGCAGCTAGTCATTTGGAAAGTGAAACAGGCAATATGAAAATTCAAACATTTCATTTGGAAAGTGAAACAGGCAATATTAGGGATTCAATGCAAAAGTGAGGTTCAAGACCAATAGTCCTTGTAGACTAAAAGATGTATGACAACACTTAATGTTGTAATGGGAATTCTAAAGATATGCTGTTTTTAAAAATTTTATGATTTTGCTGTTGAATTTTATGGGGCCAAAGAAGTGAAAAGTTAAATAATAAAGTTCAAATGTTAAAGTGATGTTTAATAATAAAGTTTTTTTTAAAAAAAACATTTATCTTAAAATTAGTCCTGCGATATGAGTGTTTTTAAAACAAGCAATAAAGGAGTTGCAATATAAATTAATAAAAATACTATGCAGAAATGAAACATGATGACTGAATCTTTAAAGATATTGGTACTTAGAGGTAAATTTAAGGAATTTTTTTTTTTTTTTTCTTTTTTTAAGTCACAAGAGAATGTATTTAACTCCATGTCGTTAAGCAAAGAAAAATCCTGTGTATAGGGATTATTCAGAAGTTTTGCATTTCTACGTTGAAATATATAGTTAAGAATAAATGTGTTTTATAAAATATTTACTTTGTTATTTTCCGATGTTTTGTAATGATGATTAGTTAGGACAAACATTTCCTTGTTAGCAGATCGGGAATTTTAAAAGTATAGAAAATCTGTGAAAAATATTGATAACACAGAAGTAAATTTATTTCTTTTCATTATCTTTTTTTGTGTAAAAAATGTTTCTTTAGTGTATTAATTTATTTTCCTTTATGTTGTAGGTTTATTGCTACATGTAATGGTGTTTTTCAAGTTTATCCAGCAACATTAATTGATAAATCTTATGATCCAACTCGCCGTGATTGGTACATTAGAGCTTTAGAGCACCCGGGGAAAATCATTTTGACAGCACCTTATCTAGATGTTGGAGGAGCGGGCTATGTTATAACACTGAGCCATACAATATTTGAGGGAAAGTAAGTTTGAAATTCTTAGAGAGGTAAAATGATATTTCAAGTAATTTGATTGATTACCTGACTTTAAATTGTGTTTTAAGTTAAAAATAGATATCACTATGTAGCTTTACATTTTCTCTTCATTAACAAAACGATTATTTATTGTTTTCAGACCTGCTGCTATGCATAGCTCCACAGATAATGTGGTTGCAGTCATGGGAATGGATTTTACATTTGGCTATTTTCATAAGTTCCTACATGAAAAGATTCCTATTTGCAGGCATGATACAGTAATGTAAGTTAGAAGCAATTTATTATTTATTTTGTGAATTACTATAATGGGTATGTTAAAATGACTAAATGTATTAATTCATATTACATATTTTTGCTCTTTACTAAAATTTGTCCTTTAATAATGTATATATATATATAATCCTTTGAAATAAGATGTCAATATTTTTTTCTGGCTTAATTTTTAAATGGAAAATTGAAGGGCTGTAATGAAATTAATGCAATGTTTTCATTTTGAAAAACTAACATAAATAATTGATTAATGATTAAACCATTGAGTTTGCATTTTAATCATTAATCAATTTAATCATTAATCAATTAATTATATTTTTTACTAAATTATATTAATAATGAAAGCTAATTACATAAATACTAAAAGTTCTGCATTGAGACAAATTTGAATGCTAGCTGTTGAATGCCTACATTGTAAACCCTTTTGTACTATGACAACTGTTTTTAAAATATCTCTTGAAAAGTCAGCTTCAAATTACATATTTTTTTCAACCTAAGGACAATCGTAAGAGTTAGTATCAGCATGTAGAGGAATATTTCTGGAGCTCTATAACATTACAAAATAAACTTTTTACAACTTCTTTTGGTTACAGTTAATTTTTATTATGGGCCAAAAAGATAAGCATATATCTTACTATTAAAAAATGCCAAAATTATAGTTGGAACAAAAAAGAGTAACACTTTTTATCTTTTTTAGATGTTTCTTGTTGGATGACAAAGGTTACCTTGTATCTCATCCAGATTTGATTGATCCGAGTGGACGTGGACCAGTTGAACAGCAACATATTACACACAAAGTTAGTTTTAATATTTCTGTTAATAAATAATCTGAGAACTCTGAAATTCATTTTTAACCATTGGCCTGATAGTTACGAATTGAGTGAACGTGCTTCATTTCATTCAGAATTTCTATCATTGAAAAAAACCATGATTTTAATGTTAATATCAAACTACATCATTTTTTTCAAATATCATTTGTTCTTTCATTTCGTAAAATGTATTGGGAAAACTAAAATAGAAAAAATTGTTTGTGCATTGTCAGTTTCCTTAATAGCGAGACCCCCCCTTCTTTATTTCTTTATCCATTGCTTCTTGAATGCAGTCTCTTGTAAGATTAAAAAGCTGAAATTTGATGCCACCATTGCTTTTCTTAATCTCAAAATCAAGAGCTTTGCTGGTATTCTTTACCATATAGTCATTAGGGTTTTTTGAAGGAGGAGACGTGAAAAATGTGCAATGCCGTCTCTGTAACTTGAACCCTGGGCCTCTCGAATGCACGTTGAGTTTGCTTCCAATTACACCACAAAAGGCATGTGGAAAGAAGGAAAAAAATACCTTATAACCTAAGAAATTGTTTTTCAAATATTTCTGGTCAAATTGTATATTTGGAAATCCACTGCATATTCTAATTCCTTTAAAACATTACCCAAGGTTTGAGCCAGTTGAAAAACAGTGATGTTCTCTACCTATGAAGAGTAAATAACACATTAATTAAAACCACATAACTAAATTATTTGAAGTTTTATAATGTGGATATTCATCAAATTCCATTGTCAGTGTAATGTATTCCATCTAAGATGGCAAGATTTTTTAATTCCATTTTGTTATCATTTGCCTTGGTTGTTTTTTCCATAATCACGTCTTTTTAAGTATTATCATTTCAGTAACTTATTTATATTTGTTAAATTGCATTGTTATTTGTAGGCTGTAAAATATTCCTAAAATGTAAAGGTGATAAATTTTAAATTTAGTACAGCCAATTCAAGAAAAAAAGTGGAACAATGCTTTATCTCCCATTCTAGTTAGCCAATCAACAAACATTAAATTCCAATTTTCATGTCTCAAAAGTGTGGCTTAAAATATATATTTATATTTTTATGTTTCTAAAATTATGTGCCAGTTCAATTTCTCACCTCAGGTTATGCAAAAATGCAAATATTATAGTAATCATAAAGGCATTTTCAAGGTATTTGCATTTAAAACTTGGTACAATTTTTCAAATTCCTGAAAAAATTAATTACTGAATTTCTAATTTACAGTGACACATTTTTATTTTCTTACTTCAATGAAAACGTCAAAGTCCATTTTGCCATGTTATTATGTTCTTGATCCTTCATATTCTGAAAGAGAATATTGTATTTTTTCTAGATCTTTGCTTATGATTTCACGTAAAGTAACAAAAAACATCAGTTTACAAATAAGCCCCAAGTAAGACACCTAGTTTTCTTTTGTTACTTCCTTGTATGAAATAATGGAAGTTATTGCAATTAAGAAAAATTTTCGGTATCATATTTCGACTGCTATTCAAATCCATCTGAGCGATGTTTTTGCATAATATCTGTATATATGGATAAGATAAAGGTCTGTTTTTTCCCAAAATGAATAAAAAAAATGTATTTAAAATGAATTCAGAAGAGATTCTGTTCATGACGTCTGTATCAACATTCTACTGAACCGATTGACAAAATTCAAACTGCATTTTTCATGCCTCAAAAGCGCGACTCAGGATATATATTAGATTTATATATAGCACTATTCTAACATAGGTATTTTGACACAAAATCGGACTTTTTCTGAAATAACATACCAATTTTTTTCCATATTTCGATTCTACGACTCAAATTATGCCAGAATGCTAATCGCACGAGTAGTTTTTAAAATATTAGCTCTCAAAATTTTAGCTCCTCAATGTTAATTGAATTTGACAAATATTTATTAATGTCTCTTTTTTTTTTATTAAACGTTTTTGATTTTTCCTTTCACATTTCAAAATTTAGGCTCATTCCAAATAAAATTTACCCATTTTTTTGTGTTTTATTTTTTAAATTTCTATTTTTAAATAATTTTTATAAATTTTTCAAAAAAAATTTTGAATTATAACCTATAAAATTTTTACCATCATCTTAAAGTAGGTGCATTTCTAAGCATACCTGCAAAAAATTAGACTTTTTTATTCAAAATTTTATAAGATATACACGAATTTACATATGCGTTTTGAAATTTGGCTTTTTTTTTTTTTTTTTTTTTTTTTTTTTTTTTTTTTTTTTTAAAGCGATAATAACGCCAAATGTGGTTTCTGGATTTTTGTTACACTGAAATGCCACAGCTATTTTTAACCTTAAATTTCAAATAAAATTTTACGGAGAATTAATTATACAAAATTTTTCCCTCAATGATGCGTAATAAATATTTATTAATAATATATGAAAAGCTATTTTTTTTATTATAGATAATATTATTCAAATTTTTAACTATTTTTTTTTTTTTTTTTTAATTTCTCTCTTTCTTCCTTTTTAAAAAAATATTTGTAAGAGTAAATTTTTATCTTCGGCGTTTTATCGTCTGCTACTTTACTTTAACTTCGTTTAAATCGAATTGTCTAAAAGTTGAGAACTTTTGTTTGATGTTTATTTGAATTTTATGAAAATATTTTATGACATTAACTGCATAATTTATTTCTAAACAAGCTGTTGCTTATGAAGTGGCTGAAAGAGCGGCTGATACTATCATCCATATTTTTATAGAAACATAAGATTTAGAATAATCATTTTTATAAAAGTCAAATATAAACATACAACCCTCTAGAGACCGAATAAATGGAAGTTCAATGGTTATGTAGAATGATCATCAGCTACTTAATGGTTGGATAAGTCAACAGGTTCTGTGAACAAGTAAGAATAATTATATAAATGACACCCAACATTCTGGATTCAGTTAACAATGAGGGTGTGATGTTTATTAAATGAATTTAAGAAGTTTTAAAACATAAAAAATCAACTCATTTTTTATCCTAAAATGTATTTTTATGCGCAACGTATTTTCATTACATCCTTAAAATTCTAATTTAGAATGTAAGTGTCAATCAAGAACTGAATTCTAATCATCAGTAATATAATAAGAGTAATTATTACAGTTATTAATAAATCCTTCTTATAAAATAATTGTAAATATTTCAAAAAACTTTCTGTCTGAATGCAAATATTTCTAATTTTATATTAAGATTGCACACGATATTATTTATTTACACTTCAGTTCTTACCGTCAGCTCAAGGAGAAGTTATCAATTATATTTAATTAAGGAATGGCCATCTAAGTTTAGAAACAGCATACCGTAACAGCAATTCAATTATTGACGCTGTATCTTTCATGGTACTCCCGATTGGCAAGCTACATGATTTTTAATGAGTATTCGGGTTTTGCTAGTAACTTCACTTGGAAATCATGCTTAAATTAGGTTAGTTAGTTATTTGAACATAGAAAGAACATGGGAGCTATTTGGTTAAGATGCTTTCATAGAGAACCTAGAAAACTACGAAAACCAACCATGCAACCTGGGTTAGACTTCGCAACAAACAAGAAGTATTTAACAATCTTCAAATGTTAGGCAACTGGTGAGGCTCCAATTAAATCTCTAATTTAATATTTTATTTGTAAATATTTAAAATATTGTTGTATTCTTAAACACAAAAAGCAAAATTTAAGTTTTGTTAACTCGTTAGTAAATTACCAAGCCGTAGTGGAAATGAATATTCAATTTCTTTTACAATAATCGTATTCACTTAATATTCTTGGAATATGAGCTAAAGAAGTAATGTTCTCGGAAGATTAAAGAAGTGTTTTAATCCAGTGATTAGGTTTGTCTTGCAAGCTCAGGCTCAAAACGATTCTGCAATTGCCTGAGTAGTTGACTTGTAAATGGCTGTGAATTAAGCAGATGACTTTCGTTATTCAGTCAGAAAACATATTCCAAATTTTTTGTATTGCATGACAATGCATCTTTTCATTATTCAGTAACCAATCAGGAACTGCTTATGTTCCAAAAATAAGTATGTGTACTCAATCGTCCTGCATGTTCTTCAAATTTGTCTTCTTGTGATTTTTTTTCTTTCCCAAAAACTAAAAATGCCTCTCAAAGGAAAGTTTTTTGACATTGAAGAGACAAAAGGAGTATAACATCTACTTTTAGAGGCATGTCGAAAACAGATCTCTACAAGCCTTCTTTTCCATTACATGTTGTGCATTTGGACAAAAACTTGCATCAGCGTAAATTCTATAATCTATTTTTATTACATTCTGATTATTTTATTAACATACAGTGAATATATACTAAACCTTTTACTTCAACTTCAGTAATTTGGAATTGTTGTCGGAACTAGGACTTATCTTCTAAGTCAAATTGAATATTTTGTATAATCCAATAAATTCAAGGTCGAAGTTTCAATATTTTATTTTCAGAGGGAGGGGAAATTTTTTCAGTTTTGGTCCGTTATCCATAGTATATTTGCTTTGATTGTTTATTTTTCCATAAAAGCGAAAATTTTATGCATGGTATACATATAACGCATAGCTTCAAATTAAAATTTAATAATATACAGTGTGGTTATAATTAAAGTTCCACTTTGAAACGGTCATAAAAAAAAATCTACTCGATCAGATGTTATCAAACTTGGTAACCGTGTAAAGGCAGTCATGGGAACTTATTTTCCGAAAAAAAGAAAGTTCGAAACCTCACTATCAGGGGAAAATATCGCTGTATGTAATATTGTTAAACAAAATATGGGTCAGAATCTAACTTAACCTTTTGTTACACGGATTTAATATGTTGTATACACTTAAGAAACTTTGAAGTAAGCAAATTACCATTTATAGACGTTAAATTCGATAAAAGTCGAGTGCGCCATTCGTGTAAGGGGGAAATTCGTCCGTGAAAACCACGAATTAGCGATTAGAAAATGTGAGATCGCAAATCACTCGCACACGTGCGTACAATCTGGAAATCGTTTTCTTACAGATCGCT